AATAAGGGCTCAATTTACACTAGTCTTTAGATATACGGGTTTAATTATCGGAACACTTATGTAACACCAATGCATTTTATGTGTAGTTGTGCCCTGGTCTATATATAAGAGAAAAGAGGATTTTTATTTTAACTGTTAATTTTCTACAAAAATAAATACAATCTAACAAAAAACCACTAAGTGGTAACACTTCCCCCGCCAAGTCAGCAACCCAAAAAAGACAATAAATCACCACTTTTCCGCCAAGTAAAACAATGTAATGTATGTAAGTTTGGCCACTTGGCGGCAGAATTTTGCTTGATCACTTTAAAAAATACCATAAAATTAGTTTCATTTAGCAAGTATCTCTCCCAATAGTACATTGCTAGATGAGAGCTTATTTTACAAAATTTGACCTTATTTGTGTCACATTTCATAAAATCATAATAGTGATGGTTTTATATTTACTGATTACCTCGAAATTATTATACTTAGTTGGACTAATTAATTAGAGAAGTTGATTTGTGAAATTATCCACCAACGTAACTTTAATGAAAAAAAAAAACAAACAAAAGTCTGCCGCCAAGTTGCCAAACTTACATACATTACATTGTTTTACTTGGCGGAAAAGTGGTGATTTATTGTCTTTTTTGGGTTGCTGACTTGGCGGGGGAAGTGTTACCACTTAGTGGTTTTTTGTTAGATTACGTCATAGATCGCAGGTCGTTAGGAAGCGGACGTTTTCTTGAGTACTAAATGTGACCCATGTTGGGGACTAGAAAATAAATCTAAGTGGAATACGAGTAAAGTTTGAGAATAGGTTAATGAGATGTAGGATTTCTAACAGCCTTGTGCTTTCAAAGCTGACAAATATTTATTTTATATGTTTAATTTGCTGTCTATTATAAAAAATTTTCAGCAGTATTTTGGCAAAATAATGAAAATAGTGCCACGAAATGTTTGGTTGCATTACGTAAAAAATCGTAGGGATTACTTTATTACATTTGAATGTTAATGTTTTACAAAAATTCAATGTGTATACGATAATTGCACGCGATAAAGTCTTGCTTGTATTAAAAACACCATTAATTAGTGAACTTTTTAGCTCATAGACTACAAGATACTGAAAATAATTGCATTATGTTTCTCAAACAAAATTTACCATAATTTTACGGTCTCACATCAACAAAAATCAATAGTTGATATATATTTATTCTTTTTTGTGGAAGCTATTTTTGTTATATCTCTCCCCTGTTTTTGGGTCTTTAGCCCTGAAGTCTGACCCCTCCCCCCCCTTCCCTCTTGGCAACTGTCGGATAATCTAGTGCCTCCCTCACTGCTAAGGCCTCTATGACCCCCCCCCTCCCTAACGACCCCCCTAGTGAGCCCTTCAGAAACTAGTCGGTAATTGCTAACCTAACGATGGAGGAAGAAAGACAAACAGATCGCAGTTAAGAAATGGAAGACGACTGAATCAAACGATTTACGATTTATCTGTGATATTTTTTAGGTAGGTCAGTTAATGATAATAATATGAAGAAAATTCCAAGCTTTGGAACCACTTTGTTATGTTGTTAAGTTTGACAATTTTCTAATTTACCAATAATCGAAATACCGTTGATCTCTACCAAAAGGTGTAAAATTCACTGAATCAACTAAGCTGGGCTAGAGGCTATTTTCACTTGATTATTGAATAAACAGTCTAATTACATCACTTCAAATATTGGTAGATCTTTGTTGCACAATGAATTCCTCCACTTTTAAATACATTTAAAAACTAGAACAGTATTTTGATATAGTAGTATAAATACATTTTGAATTAAATTATATTTACTTTCATACAATAGAAGCAATAAAAGAATGTAAAAGCAATGTAGTCGAATCTTAACAAAATTCATAGAATATATTTTAAACCAGTGTCCAAGTTTGAATTTTCCACAATTTTTATTTGTGTTTCTGTACCAATGGCAATTAATTTTTAAATTTTGAAAGGGAACGGTCCAAACCCTGGTCTTTTTACTTAACGTTTACCTTTTTGTTAGACAACATCATTAATTCATAGTACAATCTCTCGATTTCAAGACAAACCACAAGTTACATAAAACCCAAAATTATAATTTTTTTTTCAAATTTATCCATGTGTTTGTTTCTCATTGTTATAAAAAGGTGTTCTGAAAATATTCTAAACACAACACAAAATTGTGTAGGACACATGTACATTATACACGTACTGTACGTAGTGTATTGTGTTGTATTCGTGTAAGCTTGGCTGCCAGCAGAGGCAGAGGTGGCCCCTTCAGAAGCTGAATACAGCACTCACGGCATCGCTGCATTGCGGGCTCTCTTTGTTAGGCATCTCTCTACACCACATTCGGGGACACTTACACCGCCTACTGAACCTGCCTCTCATTTGGCGCACAAACACCATGTAACTGTGAAATCTGGTTTTAATTATGTAAAATTACAATTAGATTCTGTCAGTGAAACTAATGCAAAATTTTCTATGAGGAACGATTTTATTTTACAGGAAATGTAAGAGATCGTTTAGCTCTCGAATTGAGTTTAATGTTACTTTAAAAACTTGGATAAAGATGTTCAAACGAAGCGATGAAATTAATTGAGTCTCTTAAATGGTTGCTGCAAAATATGGAATTTGTGGTGTGAAATTCTAAATTTAGTATAATTCAAAATTTGCCTACTAACTAAAAATATATCGGAAAAATAAAATAAAATAAAAAGTACCTGAATGAATTCGTATTCTCTACCACAACAGTCGATGTATCGTACACCGGTGAATAAAGAAATTAATATTTCACTTTGTGTTCGCAATCAGAAACGGTCTATATTTTGCTTTTTTCTTTAATAATTTTCATTGGCTTTCCAATATGAAAAGTGTATGTATTGTTTATGAATTAAACTCAGTGTATCAGCTGATTTATAATTTTATTAGTATTGTTGAGTCCCAAATTAAATTTTTAAGTATATATATTTTGAGCTTTCAACTAAAAACAACAGGAAACGTCATATAATTCGTTTTGGTTTTCCATCCTAAATCCCCAGTTCACAAAATCCCACACGATCTGCTTTCTGCGCCAAAGGTTTGAAACGTCACTCTTTGTGAATGGACGGAAATCAGACCGATGACGCTATCTATGGTATTGCGGTTGAACTAAGGTTGCCATGGCAACGTGTCAATAGCCCCCCTCCCCCCGTTGGCGGTGACCTGTCAAACTAGCCCGCGCCGTAGGCTTTTATCGCTTTTGGTACTAGTTTTGTTGCAGCCAGTACAACCCATCACTGTAAAAATATCGATTTTATTATCGCCCATGCGTGCCGAGCCCGCCAGTGCTAATCATGTATAATTTGAAACCAGCTTTCTGCCATCCTATCAGTTATATTAGGTTGTGGTCGGTGGATTTGTGTTTCTGCCCTGATTCCACAACTATTTTATGGGGAACATTGAATTGGACGCTATACAAGTATTAATTTTGTTGGTTTAGTATTGGCACTTATGATAAAACTAAAAACAGTTTTATGTTATATGTTACAAGGATTATTGTAGACATTTCCATCCCCAGACAAAAGTGTAAAAAGAATAGTTTTGTATTTAATTTCAAATTTTGCCATTTGATTGCAAGAAATAAATTAAAACACAAACCACTAAAAATGAATTATGTTCTAAGAATAGTTTTGCAGTGGAATATTTTAGTTTAGTATTATGTTTTCCAAAAATGATTATATTCTAGTCAGAGAAATATAACGCAAATTATGTCCTAATAATTATTCTTCTCTGTAGAAAATCTCACATCTGAGAAGCAAATGTTTTTCCAAGATCGTGGTGTCTTAAATTAACAATGAACAGTTATGACATTATTATACAAGAGTAATTTGACGAAGAATGTCACATCTTATTTATTTCTTCATATTGGACTTTCTGTCTCTTGTTAATGTCTGTAGAATTTTGATTACTTTTTGCCTGTTGCCTAATTATTTTTTCTTTGTTTGAAGTTAAATTTTCTGTGATGGTGGATTTATGGTATTTGATCGATTATTGCAGATATTTTTCATCACGATTAGTAAAAATAGTTTTTAACGCTGGAACCTGATCCCATCCAGTTTGGGAAACAAAATATACATCCGAAACATCCGCAAATCTTGTTTTTTTTTACTAATTGTGACGGAAAATGTCAAAAATAATCATTCAAACGTCTTATTCATGATGCACTAACTATGGGTGTTGATATTCCGTCACAAAAATTCTAGTAATTTTGTATTTTAATAGTAAATTAGTATACTAAAGTAACACCCAGGATTAAAGTCTTTTATAATGTACGATTTCAAAATTTAGGTGGTAAATATTTTATAAATTACAATATTTGTTGACTTTGAAAACAAGAGAACTGTAAAGACGTAAAAATTGTGTACATTTACACCATGCTATAGGATAATATAGAAAATATTAAGATGTTCTTAGGATGTCAGTTGTTGTTTTATATAGTAGTCTCACTCTACAGTATTTTGCTATGATTGTATTGTTCATTTGTTCTTTAGAAAGCTTGATTTGCAAATACTAACTGTGCACATTACAGTCCTTACAGTAAAATTAAAAATATAGCCTTTATCAATAGCCATACAAACTGTAATAAATCTAATGTTGGATATACAAATTCAGCTTTTACTCACACATGACTGTATAGCTTAAACTTTTTATGTTTTTAATCCTCTCATGAGCAACAAAGTAGTAAGTAATTAACATTTTTTACAACAAAACTTAACAAAACTTTTAAGATGGATAGTATGGTACACAATGCATAAATCCCCAAAAAAGTCAAATCCTATCTGAAATTGTATCCAAAGTTATACCAGCTAAAGAATCTCCAACATTTTACAATTTCATGTCAATTTTCAAAATCGCTCATTAAACGAGTACTGGAAATTACACAAAATGTATCCCGAGCCCAGTGCTGTATGTTTTTTGTCTCTTAGTAACGGATTCTGTTTGAAGTGTGGTATGTTTGCAGGGAGGAACGGAGAGCTCAGGCTAGGAGAGGGAAGTCCCTCGGATGACGTTGGTATTTGGCCTTACCACAGTTCACTTGGGGGCAAGAAACCAACCCCTCCCACCCCCAGAGACATTCCGGTACGTACATTACACATTACAGTCTACCTCACAGGTGAAACACACAGCCAACATTCAATCTTCAATCACAGTCACAGAGCGTTTTACAGACTGTGTGGTTCTGTGAAGTGCTTTTGGTTAATTTTTGTGTGGATTTATTGGAGATATTTTACATCTGGTTAGTAAAAAATAAAGTATCTAAAATCGAATATGTGAAATCTTCATATTAATGGTGATTGTAAACGTCTGAAGTAATCCCTTATGTACTATCACCAACGATGAACTTTTTACAAAAATACTTGTTTTATTTATTCTTACTTTTATACATTCAGGGATTAATGGTGGATTTTACATTTTGTTATGTTCAAATCAAATCTGAATAGAAAACTTTAATTGAAAGAAGAGTTTTTAATTTCTATGTCTATATACTGTTTTATTGAAAGAGATATACAGTAGCCACGTCACCCTTGTTAGAAAAAATATTGCTATCGCCCCGCACCCCCCATAGTGATTCAAATTTTAATAGGAACCTAATACTCTCAATACTATTCTGTTATATTTTTCAGTGGTATAAATTTCAGAGCCACTTTTTACTTTCTCCCCTTATACAAAAATAATTTGCCTATATAGAAAAAGTGTTTTTCCGTGAACATTTTATAGTTTGAGTTTGGAGTTGAAATATCCATCTATAGTATTATATAGAATAGTAGAATATTATCCATCAAAAACTCAAACTTGGAAATTTTCACAAAAACAATATTTTCTCCATATCTATCCCCAGAAATTAAAACTACAAATGATAAAAGTTATTCTTCATACAACGTCAGAACATTTTTCAGACCGTCATACTAATAACGTCACAGACCCATGGAGCCTGTTATTTCACATAAAATATTTATATTAAAGACTAGTGGCTTGAAGGGGCAATAGCCCCTATATATATTCTAGTAATTATTTTGTACAATTTATTAGTCTCATGGGTTACCCTACTTGATTGTAGTTTAAGATTTTGTATATTATAATATGTATAATAGTTATTACATACCTGTATAAAGCATTTTGATGTCTGCTCTGTTAAAAATTAAAATTCCAAAGGACTTTTCATGCCCCCAAATTATCATGCCCAGACCTTTAACATAAGACCTCTCCCAGCTTTTTACGGCTTCCCGTTCGCTCACAATTTCATTGTAAAATGTTGGGCTTACGGAGTTAGATATATAGATTTTATGTGAAAATTTCCCTTGTAAACTTAAATGGCATATTACGATCTGTAGTTATTAGTTTTATTTTTGGCCAGAAAAATGTTCACTTTGCTTCTCAAGTAATTAATACTAATTTTACACTTTTTTTAGACATAGGTACCTAACACAACCAATCGTACTCCATTAACTAATCCAGACCCTAGGTTAATATTTCTAATGAGCATTACTATTGAACCAACTTTTAAAACTAATTTGTGTCGTGGCATTCCAGATGGTGCAATAGAAATACGGTTTCAATTAGTATTTTAAACCTCTCTTTAGGGTTAGTATACATTTTACAGTACATTACATACTGTTTTACCATATGCTTTAAATAAAGTTAAACCACATGTTTTAAAGTAAACAAAGCAGACATGACGTGAATTACTTTATTCCATAAGGACCTTTTGGTGCATAATTAAGAAAAATGAATAGTTTTCCCTCAAAATTCACGTCAAGACCTTTAAAATAAGACCCCTCCCATCCTTCTACGGCCATCCAGTCACTCACAATTTCTTTACAAAAATTTTACTTACGGAATTATATATATAGAAGATAGTTCTGTTTACAAAAAAATCATACTTTTCTTTGTTGCTTTGTATTGGTGACATACATGTTCGGTAGGTAGTACGTTAGTCAAAAGAGCATGTTAATAAACGTGTCCATTTATTTGCCGAGCTTTTACATTAGTAACAGGATTGTGTCATGATACTACTGTCGCTCTTGCGCTTGTTTGTTTCGGTTTCACGTTATGACACGACGCTTTTCAACACTAATTGTGACTGTTTGAGTGTGACAGTATGAGTTTGTTAGGTATTGTTGGTTAAAACATAAAGTTTTTTTTTGTGTGTGAATGTTTCACTGATAAAATGTATTTTACTGTGTTCAAAATCATACTTTTGAAAATTAAATTTACTTGGTAATGCCAACAAAATGTTTGATTTTACCATTATATTTGATATATAAATTATAACTAACTTTAGGATTGATGTAGTAGATTAGATTTCCTAACAAATTGTTAATTCCAGGTATTCTGTTATAAATTTGTATAATGTTAAAGACGGTCACATATTCTTAAGATGTGTATTTTAAGCTGAATATGAATGCAGCAGATTGGAGTTATAGAATAGAATGATATGACCTGTGTAGCTTTGTTACTGACTAAGATCAACTGTTTCATTAGCCAGAGTAAGGGATCAGGGACAGCTAGGTCCATTTTCGAACCATCATAAAATCATCTCTCTAACATCCATAAAATCCTTTATTTCAGAGTCCTGCGACGCTGCAAGAGACAGGGTCAGTTCATGACGAGACTTCCTCTAGTGGCAATAAGGAAGATGATGACGACGAAGAGGAGGAAATTGATGATCTCAAAACCATGCCTCACGATCCTGAGAGGCTAAAGGCATTTAATGTGAGTCAAAATTGATTTGATCTCTCTTGATATTAGTGTATTTTGAAATGAACTCCGAGGGGTATACTCCATCCTGAGCTGAAAATGCATGCTGTTGTTTCAACCTTGGACAAACCTAATATTTTTATTTAGATTGTCTGGGTACACACGTACTTAGTGCTTGTCTTAAAATTTGAAGGTTTTGCTGGTCAAAGCATCATAAATTTAGTTTGCAATTGTTGTATAAAACTTATTGGAGAGTTCATCTATTATTTTGCCAACACCAAAAGAATTGGCTGAACTACCAACATTTCTCCATTCTTGTTCTTACTCTAACTCAAACTCATACTATAATTGTTCATCCTTATTTATTTGATAAAATACATGACATTTTCAATACTGATTTTGCAGATGTTCGTACGACTCTTTGTTGATGAAAACCTAGACAGAATTGTGCCGATCTCAAAGCAGCCCAAAGAGAAAATCCAAGCGATCATAGACTCGTGTACAAGGCAGTTCCCAGAGTTCGCCGAGAGAGCTCGCAAAAGGATAAGAACTTATCTCAAGTCCTGCCGAAGGAATAAGCGGACACGGGACTCCAACTGGCCTGAATCGGTAACTAGAAGTTTTAGAATAAGTGAACATTTTTGTAATAAAATTGTAGAAAAAATCCAACCCAACAGATATATTAGACTATTTGATAATATAGAAGTGGGAAATGAGATGAGGGAGAGTTGAGGAGAAACATGGTGATGCATTTAAATAATACTATTTAACATTTTGTTTACCTATGGATCGGCTAAAGATTCTCCATAAAATATCTATTTCATTTACTATTTTTGTGCTATGTATATATACATTAACTCTAAGCCCTCAAAAAAAATTCTTGCTGCCTCACCCTTGTTTGCCTTTGACTATACTAACATCCTGTTAAAAAAAAAAGTAGAGCACAATCCTAGTTAAGTCCAAAAAACCATCCCTTGAAAGTCTTGATACTTTCAAACAATTTCCTCCTTCGATCTGAAGGAAGATATAAGTGTTAAACTCCCATATAAGTAAGTAAATATCACATTTGAAAGATTCAAAGGGACTGTAAACAAGAACAAAAAGGACAATAAGATGAACATGAACATGGAACAATAAGATAGCTTTGAAGCATTTGAACTTAAACCCTGTTTTAATTTAATGTGTTAGATACACGGATGATTTAGTGGTAAAAGCAAAGAAGCAAGAATCATATTCCACAATCAACACATTACCAAGTGGTTCGCAGCCTCTCTTAGTACGCGCAAGCAGTCTGGGCGCGCGGTTCCTTGTCCACTTGACGTCCTGTATACATTACATTTAACACTGTTTATAGTTCTATGCATTTAACCCACCCCCTCCACCTCGCCCAGCCACGAAGACAGCTGAACAACCCCAGAGCTGTGTGGTCTAGATGTTTTTGGAAATGAGTAATAAACACACCCCCCTACACCTTGGGCCATAGCGTGGCCGCGCGCCCAGACTAAATGTGACTACTGTACTCTCTACCTATTTACAAAACAAGAAGAAGTCTTTCAAGTGAACAGAACTTTTGGGGAACACGCAGTACGATAATTATTATTGTGTTGCTATCTAGAATCGTCCGACGCCTGCGCACCTGACCTCAGTACAGGCGGAGCAAATATTGGCCCAAGCTTGTGAGAATGAGAGCCACAACGCTAAGAGGATGAGGTTGGGACTGGAGCCAGTCAGTCAACCCCCACCAGTCATCCCGGGGGTAAGTGTAGTCGATGTCAGCTTTTGATTATTGAATGAAGTAGACATTCCAATCTCATATTAACCCTTCAAGACCATGGTACGAGTGCAGCTTGTCACAGCATTTTATGTCTTTCTGCTAAACCACTGGCGCATAGTAGTCGAATCTCACCTACGATTTTTGAGCGCAAATGCAGTCTTTAGTAGCACTTGGCCAGCCTCGTCTTGCACTAAAGTTTGGTCATTAATTGTAAATGTCAATGTTTTGACTCTGAAGTATACAGGTTTGGTACATATAACAAGCAATACATATTAAGCTAATGTGTAGCTTAGCGGTTTTGGAGGGCCCATAGTGTGTGGCGAGGATGGAAGTAGACACCCTCAGTGGTAAAGCTGAACTTTTACAATATCACAGGCAATATAAACATTTAATTATTGCTTTTATATTTGTTGAATTTGGAGTTATTGTGTGGAAGTGCATATCCCACAAAAGATATAAAAGGAAATAGCCAGGGCCGTACTACCCTAATGGCGGACATGGCATTTGCCGGGGGCCTCGGCCTAGGAGTTGGCCTCACTTGGGGCCTAAAATTGTATTTCTTGATCGCCACTGCAGGAGACGAGACAATGATGATGATGTCTACACGGCCGAGGGAGATATCCATGATTTTGCCACTATTGCGCAAATGACGATCATGTTATCGAGACTGCGGGATACGGAGATGACTTTTACATGGCCGTAGGAGATGTTCATGATTTTGCCACTATCGCTTAAGACGACATTCACGTTTTCGATACCGCAGAATACCAAAATGACATTTACATGGCCGCATGAGATGTTCATGATTTCGCCGTTATCGCGTAAGACGACTATCACGTTTTTGTAACAGCGGGAGACAATGATGGTGTCTATTTCTCCGTGGCCCCATGAGTCGTTCATGATTCCGCCGCAAATGGAGGAAACGAAGATGACGTCTCAGCACCGGTGCAAGATGCTAACTATTTCTCCGTGGCCATAGGAGATTTTAATGTTTATAGTCCGTGAGGTTGGCGAAAGACTCTGAGCGATAAACGTCCCTTCCACCAACGCACGCGCACTCGCAAGCAAGGCCCTACTTACCCCACGGTGCGTGGACCTATATGTGTGTGTGTAGGTGTGTCTCTGTGTGTGTGAGGACTGTAATCCCTTAGAGTCCTTCGCCTACCTCACAGACTATAATATAGTGTAGTACGGTAGCCAGTTTTGTAAACAAATGCACGTAGTTATACTTTTTAAGCCATTTTTTTTTTTTACCAAACAAAACTGAAAATTACAACTTATCGCAAACTATTGCAACTGGTAAAGTAACATCAAGTACCATAGTTTCAAAATTTACAAAGAAAGCTGAATATTTTAGTATCACAAGCAATATTGGTTCCACCTGGTCCATACAGAAGGAATGTCTACTTCAGTATGCAAAAGTCAATATGGCGTTGCTCTGTCTTTGGTACTAAACAATAATCAGAGATTTTTACAGTTTATTGGTGGGGGTGAGTTTTGTAAGTACTATATGGACACTTCATCAAAAAAAGTAAAAAGTTTACATGACAAAATTCAAATCTAGAATGTGATCCCAACATCAAGTGAGTTAGGTAGTGAATAATCCCAAAACATGTTTATATTATATTTATGTACTTCTGATATACCTATGCAAGCATTCATTTGTTTAACTATGAAAATAAATAATATTTAGTTCACCATCAACACTATTACATCTTTACAGAGTGAAACGCCTCCAAGTCGGCCTGCTCACGAGTCGTTCTCCGCAGCAAACCTTGCATCCAGTGCTGCGAACCAATCAGAGAGCAAGCTGTCACATCAACATCAACATCCGATACACCTCAACAACAACAAACCCGACAGTCCGAACCTGGCCAAAGTGTCGGAACCTACGCCTGCGCCAGCTATCAGGTAAAAACATATCCTTACACTCATATAGTTGGGTAGTAGAATAGATGTAGTGCTCGCCTAGTAATCAGTAGTTAGTCTCCTATCGTGAGAAAATTCAAAATCTTTTTAAACGTTGGAAACTGGACCCAGCTAAACAAATGCAGCTGTCCAGCTGTTCATTATTGGGCTTAAAAAATGATCCTGGCTAAAGATTCAGCTGATCTCAGTCAGCTGTGATATCATCCATTCACTACTCATTGTTCACTTGAAAAATTTTCACTTAAAAATATCACTATAGGCCTATCTATTGATACTCTGCAGAGAGTGTTGCAAAATACATTCATTTTGAGGTCTAATAAGAAATCGTAACTACATACATCAGTGTACACTTGATTATCAAACCTTCAGTTATCCGAACTTCTGTTTTATACAACCCAACGAGTATAATGATATCACGTGCTATGTGAGGTGACTGCATACCGTAGTGAACCGCTGTTCCTGACTGTACATAACTTAGAAAATATACCCCATACTTTAGACGCCTGCACTTATTTGTTATTGGGTGAGGCTCCTAAGTCTTAGTGCAAACAAAAACCTTGACTCAGTGTATTCTACCGTAGACAAATAGAATAAATATAGACTGTCAAAGGAAAGTTCCGGTGCCGACCACTCTAGGAGTGCCGTGTAGTTACGGAGCACACCGCTGCAGGCAAGGAGCGCAGGAGCCGTATGCAACCAGCAGACGCTGCAGCGGTGTGCGCCGTAACTACACGGCAAACCTAGAGGTGGACGCCAGAACTTATGCTAACCGCAGCACAGCTGACGGTCTATATTTATTCTATTTGTCTATGATTCTACTCAGTAGTGGTGTTTTTAAAATGTTGTCAATTTTTAAAATGTAATTATGGATTAGTACGGAAATAAGTTAACCAGTTTTATGTTTACACAATCTAACTTACCAAACTCTGGGATAGGAGGAGTGTGTTCAGTTATGTATTTATGTGTCTATTAAATATATGTAGTATTTCAAAAGTTTTCGGTAAAACTTTTAATTTTTTTAATAAAGTTAAATACTTTGATTTTTTGTGTTATTCAAAATTTTATCTTATCCAGCCAGCCCTGTATCTTTATCTTTACATCTAGTGCTGCCCTGTTCCCTACCATCACACCTATGATCATTGATTATACTCACTATTAAATGTTTGCATTGTGGCTCAATTTAAAGTGCAAGTATTTTACTCCACGATTTTTTTCAAACTTTGAAAATTTTTTTGAACCTTTGATGAGCTTTCAACATTAACTTGATATGTTTCAGTTCTATCTCAAGCAGTCCGCTGAATGGTGCTGCCACGTCAACTGCCCCCAGCGCTCTCTTTAGACCAAACTTTGGACCAGCATTTCAACGAGGAGCGGGACCTCAGCACTTCCCCGGCACTCCACTGTTCCCCACCCCTCCCTTTGGTGCACCCGGAATGATGCACAACGGTAAGATATCCTTCTGATTTTTCAACATGAAAACCATCTGATGTCAAACCTGGACAGGCCCATGAATTAGACAGAAGCTGTTGACAGTTTTATAATTAAAAAGGACTTAAATTGAGTTACAGATTGTACTTAAACAAAATAATGTGTTATTTCATTTTTTATACTTGTTATGCTTATTATTACGTGTACACTTAGCTTAATCACACCAAACTGGTAGGACAACCATAACAGACCAAAAAGATAAAATAGACTTACATTTTTAACGGCTCAGTAAACTATCTTACATCTAGCCTATTTTACATAGATTGTTTAATTATTTTTGTTACCTTCTAATATTTGCTTCTCTCAAGTGATTCAAAGAATCTTATGTATGATCTTGTTCACAAAAAAAAAAAAAAAAAACAATGGATATTCCTAAGGCTTGGGCATCCATGAGATGCATAGGGACTAAATATTGATGATATAGGTGAGTCGGTGGCTCAGTAAGTAAGTAGCATCACGGACGTCGGGCCCAAGACAGCAATGTCGTGGGTTCGGATCCTGGTCACTGTCGCAAACATTTGATCAGTACCACCTTTGTACAGTACCGGCTCACCCCTTGCTTTGCTGGATACGATCCACGCACAGGCAGTTAGTCTATGTGGACCCGCAAATGCAAGGTAAAAAGAGGCTGCCAACCTGTAAAAAAAATCTTATTAACTAAATTAGATTTGATGGTCCTATACATATTAGACGTATGATTTTATCCAAAGTTACAACAATGGGTTTTCCGTAGGGCCTACAGACCTGAGCATGAAACCCTCCAAGCCGTTGCTGAGTCACAAGCTGAGTCCGCAGGAGATGGCTGCGGTCAGACAACTCATCACGGGCTACAGAGAGTCCGCAGCGTTCCTGCTGCGGTCCGCAGAAGAGTTGGAGCAATTGCTGCTGCAGCAACCGTAACATTCGGTTTTCCCCTTCCTCTACTAAGCTGCGGAGAGCTGGTTGAGGCTGGGGTACAAGAGACTCTTACGGCGGGTGCTGACTAGTGGTGTTTCTGAAGCTGTATCTTACAGTGGCTTCAAATGGCTAAAATATTGAAAGTGTTGGGAAAACCAACAACTAACTAGGGGGTTTTGTGCCCCCTTTAATTGGAATTCAGGGATTTATGGTACTGAAAACTACACGGCTGTCTTTTGACATGGGGTTTAAATTTAAATTGGTTAAATAGTTAGTTAATCTTTGACTGGAACAGGGCTTTAATTTCTTCATTACTTTTATTTATTACCGCAATCCTCCACCTCTAGGCGTCATAAGTTTTTTTTTATTTTCTGTTTTACAATATCTTGACTTAACTGTCCTAAGCAAATTTATCTGTATTTTTGTTTAAATTGAATTACCAAAAATCACGTGATTAATGATAAACACTAATTCTACACTAAGTCATAAACACTAAACAATTAACCCATTGGGGAAGGAATTAATCCGCTACCTGCAGCACCCTCGGGCAGCAATTAATTTTACCAAATTAGTAGACTTTTACTCTAACTGCTATAGAAAGAAAACCTTAGGTAATAAATTAATAATTCTTTCACCATTTTGTTCACAGTAAAATTGTCTACAGAAAAGTGTTAATTGGATAGTCAAAGTTCAAAAAAAATATATATATATATATATAAAGATTATAAAAATAAAAATTTTAAAAACAATATTTTGAAAGTAAACTTGATATACAAATTCCAAGATGAATCCAGACACCAAATAACACTACTATTATAAAGGTCAATCGATTCCCTACGTAGAAAAATCAAAAGTTGTGTACTTTTATAAGTAATAACATTTTTAAAAAAATTGTTTGTTTACCTTACCGCAGCTGATTTTTGGTGATATGTGGTTTCCATAGCAACACAAAATTGTTTGTTATTCGCTAAAATAAATGAGTAAATACGCAAATCAAGAAGCAAGATATTTATAAACATTATAATAGTAAGAAGAAACAAAAAGAGCAAAAAATAATAATAACTAAATAACAAATGGCGCTGCCTAGCGGTGACACGAGCAGCTCTCGTAAGTCGGCCTCCGGGCCTGCAGCGGCCGTACGAGTAACGCTCGTAAGTCGGCGCCAATGGGTTAAGATAAACACTAAGTTAATATAAGACTTCTGTCCTAAGATATCCGTAAACAATGTAGGGCTTAAATAAATCTGAGTTAGAATTTTGTAAAGCTTACAGGCCTATATAAATATAAATATGATTCATTAAATAAAAGTTAATTAAGTTACCAACCTAAGTTACAGAACGGTGCTAACACTTTCTAACGTGACACAAAGTAAATTAATTTAAGAAAAACTTGACTTATTGTTGATCAAATAAAATTGTGTGGGTAGGTAAGTGTAAAATAATGTTGAATTTTCATTACTAATTGTGGCAAATCAAAATGAAATATCAATTAGAAGAAGGGTAGATTTAAAATTAAACCCTGTATAACACATATTATGAGATTTGAATTTTGTTAATTTGCAAGCTTAAGATAAACCTCTTTAATCCTTGAATGCCTTGATCTGCAATAAATTGGCCATCCTCTTGCTGTATTTCTGTTAAACTTTATAATAATATAGTTGGACAAAAAAAACCAAATATATGCAATTTTGAAATTTCCAGTGGATTTAGGTTGTTGTCCAAATTTACTCTTAAAAATATATTCTTAATATAAAAAAGTTATAAAAAGATAATAATTATTCCAAGGTTAATTTTTTCAATGGCATTGTAAGATAAATCGTTTAAGAGTTTACTTTTTACAGAGGCGACTAAAATATTTAATGAGTTCTCAAACTAAAACTTATTTCTAGGAGGCTTTACTTATTACTTTAGAGTTTGAAACATAGAGATTCTTTAATTGACTATATTCTACTATTATAATTTAGTAATTCAAAGTTTCTAAAACAACACTTGATAGAGCAAAATTATTGAAAACCTAAACAATATCTATTTTTATATTGTTACTTAACTGTAAACCATCTAAAACTTTAAAAATGTATCTTAAATTTAGACTTAGACAACTTTTGTATCACATACTATTTCATGACATAAACTTAATCCCTTTTTGGAATGTTCAGTTTCAAAACTACATTTTGAGGTTATCATGGTAAAAACTATCATCATTTATCAATCAATCGACTGTTCAAATATATTCCGATATCATTAAAAACAGTACTATGCTTATCAATAAACAACAAACACAAACAACAATAAATCAATTGAAATCGATATACCGGTTGAAAATGTTTATGTTTTTGATTCGTCAACAGAAATGGAGTTTACCTGTCCCTGTTTAAAAAATGAATTCTCTTGCCATAATTTATACAGGATGCTCTGAAACACAACCCCCTGCAAACAACATGCTCATTTAAGGTCACTGTCAAGATACTAGTAATTTAAAGTCAGCACCAGAACTTCACCGATGAAAACAAATGACAACCAAACAAACTTTAACGGAAGACAACACCAAAAGACTGTTAGTAACTGAATTAAGTGTACATTTCAATAAACAAGCACAGATATGTTTTTTGCACAAACGATTTTCATGTATTCGTTTACGTTGTGTGTTTTGTTCCAGTATTACCCTTATGTTATGTTTTACGGGAGTGTGTACGCTCTTTGTTGATTTTGTTATAGAATTTATTGCTATTTTGTAATTTTTTAGTGTTCACAATAAAATCAAAAGGTAGTTGTATCGGATGAATGTTTTATTATAAATCTTCGTGTTCCCTGTTTTATCGGAAGTTAGAATGTTTTAAAATGTCTAGAACAGTCGCAACATGTAATGGAAGTTTCAATAATATGTATTTCCTTCAGTCAACAGTTTTGACTTTTGGTTTTATTAGCTTATATCTGGAGGATCCAAAATTAGTTTTCATTTTAAGCTTTGAAAACTAAACTATGCTTTTTGTTTCACTTAAAATGGGTTGTGTTCTGTTTACTATATCACGTTTGTTTAACTTATACTCATACAACTATCATTATTTTAAACTAGTTAATTTTTAATTCATTAGTACTCTAATAGTTGAATATTTTATCAAAACTACAAATAAATTCCCTTAAAAGTAAATTAGAATGATATCCTGTGAAAAAATAGTAAGGAGCTGTATTATTTCATTAATTCACAGGCCAAACATTTCTTATTTTTTCACTGTACTGTATTGTGTACTTTAAAATTGAATTCAAACTGAGTACTGAGTTTTGATTAGTAAGGTTACTAATATTAAATTGATCAGCAATAATTTTGAAGGCATTTAGGAGGTTATGTTTTTATTTTATTTTGTGATACATCTTATTTATTGACATGTACAAGTATTTAGTATTCAAATATTATAAAATTTTTCTCAATGGTCAACCAATTAAAAACTAATTTTGATAAAAAACAACTGAGTTGAAAAGTAAAAAATATTGTTTTATTTTTACATTAATATTTACGATCTTAATTGAGTCAATCACCAACTTTATTTTAGTTGGCTCCTTAAAACAATTTAACTTTAAAATTTTCAATTAAAAGTAATTCTGACAATAGCCATACAAGCGTTTCAACAATAACTTCCTATTTGCCTTCAAAACTATCTCTGAAAAAAAATATTACTAAAACGATAGTGTTAAAAATACTACAGTAAATCAAAGCAGGAGGTAACTTAGAAATTTTACTAATGAAATTATGTTTTACCAACATCAATATGTTCCTAAAGTAAAACTGTTTTTTATAAAAATTCAATATCAGTGTATAGCTAGTTCAATAGTTTTATAAATTTTGAATACAATACTAAAAAACATTTTATGCAACATATTTTACTGGAGCTTTCATATACTGTAATTAGAAACAAATCATATCTGTAAACTTGAACAAATTATGGGCATTATGTTTCCAGCTTTTCATTCTGTTAGAATTTCATCTTATGACACTGAACCAGAGTAATTTATCAATATTAACAATTAAAGTAATTTTTCTAGTGTCCAATTGTACTAAGAAAACTAAGTATAACCGTAAATAAGTCTTATACAAGTTAACTTCCTATTGTTAAAAATGAAATGTGCTTTTACCAAAAGTTCCTGTAGTATCTTGTTTCTATTGTGGGTCATGGAACGTTTGCTCATTTTTAAATAAAATTAAATCACATTGAAATACTTTAAGACAGGAATTTACTTACTAGTTAACTAGACAAGAACCTGTGTGTGAAAAAACTACAAGTTAGCAAACTGTTATTAAAAAATCTTACGGATTAAGTTAATCTAAAGTTTTTCTAGACCAATAGATGTGTGTTTTATCAAACATTGACACCTTGTTAAACCAACTTCAAATGTAAATACTGTAATATTCGTCGGTTTGAGCCGCCCGGGACCACGCGGGATACTGTCTATTCAATGTATAAACATCCGTAGCGACAGACTTTATTGTAAATAAGATATATGAACAGGGTTTGCCGCGAGTCGTTCCCTACTTGAGTGTTCTCAGTGTTTATAGATTATAAATATTATATATTGTTCTAACTGTATTTTGAAATATATATTGACTTCTCTTTAAATGTATAAATGTGTTGCTTTATTTCTCCTTGTATGGGTGCATTATGTTCATGAGGTAAGGGTTGTTTTTTTTTTCTAACAATTGAATTTTGGTAAGGGAAATCTCACTACAGAAGGGTTGTTTACGTTACTGAGATATGTAAAGAAAAGAAAATCTGACACGTCCACTGTATTTTTTAATTTGACATAAGACCTCACTTTATGGGCTAGCTGGGTAATAGCCCAAAGCTCTAAATATTAGAGATGCCAATTTATAAAAAATGTGCTTGTACAGAATTGTTTTAATTAGTTCGCTAAAAGTCAAATAAAACAGTTTTGATAATTAATAACGTCCAAAAAGTATCAAAACTCATTTTCAGCTACTTATCAAACGACAAATTCAAAGACATCCAAATTTGTTGAGGGAGTGAAAACAGAGTGATAGAGGAATAGCTAAAACAGGTCAAATATTAACGTCAATGCCTCTTAGAAAAAGAAATTCAAATCTCTAAATCTTTTGATTACAAAACCTTTTATCAGATGATATTAAACCATGAATGGAAAATGGTGAACCAGCCACCTCTGGCCCTAATCCACATATTGAAATTTGGTTAGGTTATGTTAAGTTAGATACCTATATAAATATGGCCCCTGAATTTATGACCAGTGGCCGGGACCCCTACACTACTCAAAAGTAGCTTGCAAATGGCTTTGCAATTAAAATTCTCATTGTTTCATTTTATCAAACCAGTTTTAAAATTTATCGTTAGAATGCCTGATTCACTAATTGTGATATCACA